GATTTTTTACCACGACTACATCGAGAACGATTAATTAAACCTATACTATATGTCTCATAACTCTGAAATTACTTGAAGACAGAAGGCTGATTGGTCTAATATTAGAAACCCCAAAACTAGAGTATCCAGTCTGATATTGATTCTGATCCCTAATCGAAAATATAAAACTATTGATATAATTTACTTTAAATTGACTTTTATTATTGATTATTATTGAATTTTAAATCACGTTGCTGGAAATGGCCCAGTATAAGTTATTTGTGCATATAAAATAATATTTTAACCTTAATAATGAGTAATATAAGTAATAAACGAGTGTTAAATTTTTCAACAGCAGAAAAAAGTATTTTGATTGATTTAATTTTCAAATATAAAAATGTGATAGAAAACAAAAAGTCTGACATACTAACTTCAAAAGACAAAGAAAAATATTGGAAAATAATAGAAAATTTGTTTAATAGTATGTCCCCGACCAAATTTAGAACATTGGCTTAATTTACACCAATTGTTTAGTACACGTACCAAATACTAAATCTGCTTCTCTGATAAGTATAAATCGTTTAGTGTAAAATCTACACCAATCAAAGAAGCTGCTTTAGTACTTGGTACGCGTACTAAACAATCGGTGTAAACTAAGCCATTAGAGAGTTAAAAAAATTGCTGGGATAATTGAAGAAAAAAACCAGAAAATTTTTGCCGATGAAAAAATTTGGTTGCATAAATGTATGATATACAGGTAATATTTTTATCTTATACCTTTTGTGGAATATTACATATTATCTGCTATGAACATAATTTGAGTAATGCTAAATAGTTATATACAATCGATTCCAAGCTCTACAACATACATTGAACTATAGGTCTGTTCTTAATAGCTGAACTGGCTGTACTAGTTCAGAGTTTATCTTTTTCTCTCCACATTGGAAGGAGAAAGATAAACTCTGAACTAGTGCAGCCAGTTCAGCTATAAAGAACAGACCTTATATATGTATACTGAATATCGAATATGCGTAATTAATAATTTTATTATAAGCGTGAGACGTCTTCAGTTGTTTCACATACTGTTATCGTTGCCAGCGAGGGACACCATACATGCCATACGGTACGTATACGTTTCACTGCAATGAAAAACGCTTTGGTGTCACTAGTAAACGAAGTGAAAATTTCACGTAAATTCGACGCAGAGCATTGTCAAATTCATATAATAGTTTTCATTTTTCATGTTTCCGTTCCTAGGGAAAAATTACATGATCGATGCTTTGGAAAGCGCCGTGCTGCTCAAGATGCGGTCAGACAAAGAGAGCATTTGGATGGTTTTGTCTTTTTCTGTTATAAGCTCTCTTCACTGAACTCTATACATGTGTATACTCATGTATACTTTATACATATATATATATATATATATATATATTAAAAATAAAAGTTTTTTATAAACCTGCGAAGAAAAAAGACAAAACAATGCTACTGCCTTTCTTTGTCTAACCGCTCGTTTACGCCACGCTTATATGGAAAGACGCTTTCTAGTTTGTATAGAGTTTAGTAGAATTATATTGGACAGTTTTGCATTTTTCCCACATGAGGTCTCCAAAATCATTTCGGACTCGTCCTGTCATTTCTGTGTACTTTTAAGAACAGTTTTAAGAGATTAAATTGCTGTATATTTTTGTAGTGTGTTTTTATTTTATACAAACTATATACGTCTGTGCCATGATTTCAATATGTTTTTTGATACATTGCTCAACATTTCATCAATTTTCCATTTTCTTGAATATTTTGTTCATTCTTTTTCAAAGTATGTTTATTCAATAAAAATTAAATATATCATTAAATTTATCAACTTGCGTGAGATTTTGTAAGATACTTTAGTCAAATGCAAAAACAAATATATCAACTGATATTAAGTGACAGTGTTAAAAAATAAGAAACAACTTTTTTAAAGTGTTTCTTAATCCTCTATAACCCATTTTTTGTGTTTAAAACAATGACAAAGATTGCTCTTGGAACAGAAATTAATAATTAATTTTTAATTTATAAATATTTTATTATAAAAAAAATAGTTTATAACTCTGAAGTCACAATGAATAATGGGGGACAACACTTGTATATGTGTATCTTACGTAGAACGTGTCCTTACTCAGTATGGAAGTTCATAAAATAATTTGCGTTTAAATAGAGAATAGAAGAGTAAGATTCTTCAGAGCGTTCAGAAAGAATGTCTTGCCATAAGAGAGTTGAAGAATTTTTTTTATAAGATGGTTTTCTAAGAAATTGTTTGTTTTGACATAGTATTTATTTTATATTATACTTCCTTCCATTAATAAAGAATGATTAGCAGAGATTTTTAATGCCGCTATCAATAATATTTATATAGTGTCAAGGGAATAATATTATTTATTATTTGAATAAGGTTATTTTTTATTTGAATCAGAATTTGCAAAAAAATTATCTGATTTGTAACTAATATTTCTCCTCTTAGTTGCTCTTGACTTCTTATAAAATACTTGTGATTACATATTTAGGCCTGAAATATAGAACAAAAAAAGAGAAAGGAAAACATACTGAATGAAATATACTCAATATTTTATTATTATAATCTAATGTAACAAGAAAGCCACATAGCTATGTTATATAAAAATAGTACTAAAATTATTACCAATGTAAAAATATATGAAAAATTCATATATTTGTCCTCATCTTTGTTATACAATGTTGTTTTTGCTTATTGAAACAATGAAAAAAAAAACAACATTATTGACACATGAAGTAAGCACCAAAGATGTAAGCCAGATAGATGGTAATGCTGAATATTAAATTAAAAAATTCAATCCGCTTATAATATAATTGTAACAGTATACAATAATGATTAATTTTAATTGTAATTAAATGCTGCTATTATGTTGTCATATTTCCAGACAAACTTTATTGGATTAGTTGTATGGTATAATACTTTCAATTTGTTGAAAATATCATTTTGACAGCATTTAATGATTACCGTAATATGTTGACAAAATTAATATCCAATGCGAACCTTTAGGTAAATATGCTACAATTTTAATATTAAAAATGCTGTAATTATGTATGCAAGATGTTACTCAATGTCTATTTGGGAAAATAGAAACTAATAATTTCTGTAAATAGACTGTCTTGTGACAATAAAATAGTAAAATGCAACAGTAAACAGTGGTAAAAAGTGAAATAAGACTTAAAAATATAAATACATAGATATGTGACTTCAGAGTTACATGATGTTATAGAGGGTTAAAGGTTATAAACTAATAGTATTTCGTTAACTATACAGTATTCCATTGCATTCACACAAATGATCTGATAAACAAGTATGCGATAAAAAACTTTACGTTTATTAATTTTTTGTTAATTTTTATAAATGCATCCGATAATAATTTATATTTATATTCGTTCGAGAACGAACAAGATGACACAATCATGATATAAACATTATTACATACACACACACACACACACACACACACACACGCGCGCGCGCGCGCGCGCGCGCGCGCGCACATGCAAACACACACAAAATCTAGCGCTTCTAAACTTGTCAAGAAAAACTTTTATACAAAAAGATTTCTTTAATATATTAAAATTTGGATAAGATGGATAATTTGGACACTTATAATATCGATCTCATTGAAAATTTTAATGGAAGTAATTATTTGACTGTTTTTCATTCATATAAGATTTTAACAGTTAATATTGTTGCTCTATATTTTGTAGAGTAAAATAGAGTTAAAATAATGTTTTTTAGTAATAAAATAATTAAATTACAAGTAATGTCTTATAAGGTTAGGAAATGTTACATGGATAAAATATAAATATATGCTAATATAAATATATGTCGTGACAGACATAGTGTACAAAATTTAAAACTTATAGTATAATTATAATCATTAGTAATATTGTAATTTATAGATTCCATTTTGCACAAATAACAATTTTTTTTAAAGTTTTTAATATACTTTTTTGAATTTTGGAATTCCTTAAAGGATTCCGCATCTTATCAATAACCGTGTTTTGTCAAATTGTCAGAATTTTTGATATGGTATAGTTTTTGTTTTCGATCAAAAAACTCAATGGATACAAAATCTTAATATGGATAGTTTTTGGGATAGACATTTAAAAGTCTTTCTCATAAGATGTAAATGTTTTTATGTTTGTACGTGTATGTTACTTTTATTTTTTAATAAAAATTGATGTGCGCTTACAACAGACTGCTCTACTCCAGGAGCAGTAACTTCATTTAAATATATATAGTTTATTAATGAAAGGCGGCTAGCGGCCAAGCGCTGAGAATATCAGTGTCGTAGCATTAGCGCTCTTGAAGTGGCGCAGCCTGCCATAAGCATGCAATAATTTTTATTAAAAAATAAAAATAACATACATGCACAAATATAAAGACATTTACATCTTGTAAAAAAGACTTTGATATGTTATTTACATCTTATAAAAAAAACCACAAACACACCCATAACATACACAAACAAATAAACACATACACCAGTCAGACAAAGTTACATAATTTGGATTGCGTTATGCCGGCGGTATCTTAACTCTTCAACAGCTAACTGATTGCATAATTTATTATCAAACACCAATGTCATGTACCATTTTGAAATCGACTTAACAACGGCTTTAACATTCTGTAACGAAAAATAGGGAGTTCTATTTAAAAAAGTTTATATGATCTTGATCTGATCTTCAGGGCGATCGCCAAGGTCAAAATGACAACTGCTAAATTAATATAAAAAATTCGAATTAATTGTGGGCTCTTTTGTTAATTAATATTAAAAATGCAATAAACAAGCAAAT